AAAAAAAAAAAAAAGACCGTACCCTTTTATGCAATGATGTTTACTTTGAATTTATATTAGTTCACACAAACCCTCCATCCATGCTTTTGTTCCGGCCCTCCGGTCCAGTTTAAGAACCCATTGTGGCCCTCGAGTCAAAAAGTTTGCCCACCTCTGATTAATACTGTCCAGTCCTTTGAGCCTGAAGGGACTCAATCACGTAACTAACCTGCCTCAGCAGACTAAGCCAGCTGGGAGTTTGAAAACCACTCAAGATCTGGAAAACCATGACACACTCCAATCATGCAAATGTTTCAGCCTTTCCAGACACATTGGAGTGATATAGATCAGAGTTCAGAGTCAAGCTTATCTTCCTAGCAGGACAATAAATATCCAAAGCATTTAACATAGTATATGGATTATAGAAAGCTCTCAGCAAATGGTTATTCTGATTATATCTATTATCCTTCAACCTTGGAGATATAGCAAAACAGAATTCGTAGTGACCATTGATTCTCTATGGTAATGGGTGGGAAAGTAAATTTAAAAGGATAGGAAATTTAACATTTTTAAATTTAAGTAAATTTAAAAATTCCAGCTCAAACTTCCTCTAATTTCATCATCATCTGCTTGCAAATATCCAGGCTTTTATTTCAAATTCAATTTATGTAGTTTCTCCTAAGTGTTAGGCACTGGGGTATGCTTATGCACTGAGGAGAATAAAGAGAGACTAATATTAAAAGATTTGTTATTTTGGCTTCTTTGTGTGGGATGTACGTGTTGCTATACTTTTATTTGTTGAGAGGAGGTAGATTATCTAGTCCAGAGTCGGTTTCTCAGTGATCAATATGTATAATATAAATGTCCTGCTCTTTCCTGCCAACTTAGACAATCATAGGAAATTTTCATGATTAGTAGCTAACACTTTCATAGCTCTGCTTCTCCACCTAGTGGCCTGAGTATAACTGAAGTTTGAAAATTGGAGAGCAATTCCTAGCCTATCCTTACATTATAAAGCAGATTAATTTCAGACAACTTAGCCCTATGGCTTGACTCTCTGGACCCCCCAAAACAGAAAAGCAAGCAACAAACAAACAAACAAAAACCTTTGCTTAGAGGTTTCTCCACAAGGGTATTTGATTCCAAGTTCCAACAACCAGCAGTTGCAATTGCCGCAGTGTTGTCTTCAGCTTCTCGATGTTTCCATTGGCCAAAAACGCACTAAGTCTTCTCCTAGTTCCTCTCCTAGCATTCAACAAACAAAGGCAAGGCAGATCCACCAGAAAAGGACACCTGATTTCCATGACAAGTATAGGAATGCTATTTTAGCTAGTGGAGCCACTGTCTGTGTTGCTACATGGACATATAGAGACTGGAAAGGAGGGGGAGAGACACAGAGAGAAGCAACGATGTGAGAGAGGCATTGATTGGTTGCTTCCTGCATGCGGCCCAACCAGGGCCTGGGATCAAGCTGCACCCGACAGCAACACAAATTGGAATAGAATGGGACCTGTCCCCTGTTAGCAGAGTCAACCCAAAGGAATAGAGAGTCTCGTAATCACCCCAGTTGGTGTGATAATGAATTGTTTCAAAACCAACTCAAAAGTGATGGCAAGTGAAAGCACTGTGTACCCATTAAAATATGGCATGATTGGAGAAATAAAGTACATTTGAAACCTTCAAAACACACAAACACACATACACACACACACACACACACACACACACACACACACACAAAAACACCTTTGCTCAATCCTGGAACTAATTGAACTGCCTATGGGGCAGAGTATAGGCTGTTTGCTCAAGCTGCCATACCCAGGGGTTGGGACAGACTAATTCTCACTGGTGAGGAGTCGACAACAGTCCTACTCACTGGCTAAGCTCCCATGTCCATTTTGTCTTTCCTCTACGATGCTGAGAAAGTCTGTTCCCTGTCGCTGACCTCCAGGTAGTACAGAAGGAAACTGAGGAAATCCCCCACAGAGAGAGCAGCTACAGGGGCAAGAGTGATGCGTGATGAGTCTGGTATGGCACAACTAGTACCCCAGTTTCTCCAACACTGTTTTTGCTAAGCTCCCTCCCCACGCTGCTCCTGACTATTATAGGTATGCCCTCTACATTACTCCAGGACAAGCAATAAAGCATTTTTTGTTTCCTTTTATTTTATTTCAAGAAGTTCCATGAGGGCAGGTTGGTATCTGCTCTGTTCACCATTGAACCCACGATGCCCAGAATACAGTACGTGCTCAAAATTGATTTTTTGAAGGAATAGAAGAACGAGTGAATGACCAAACTGGAACCAGCTATCAAATATCTAATCTAATAATAGACAAACATGGTAATTGACCATACCTTTGCTACGCCTCCCATTGGTTAATCAGCACAATATGCAAATTAACTGCCAACAAAGATGGCGGCTAATTTGCATACTGTGGGCAGATTCCACTGTGCCTCCCCAGCACGAGATCCTGGCCTGCCATGTGCAGGTAGGGGCAGGCAGAGCAGGCAGAGCAGGCAGCAGCGTGATCCGAGCTGCCGCCCACCCCAGTGCGGGATCCAGGCCTGCAGTGTCTTGGGCAGGGTGGGCAGGGCAGGCGGCAGCACGATCTGAGCTGCCCCTCACCCCTGTGCAGGATCTGGGGTCTTGGGCGGGGTGGATGGGGTGGGCAGCAGCAAGATCCCCAGCCGCAGCCCACCCCTGCTTGGAATCCTGCCATCTGCGACCTGGGGTGATGGGGAAGACACTGCGGGATTGGGTGTGCCATCTGCCACCCGGGGAGTGGGCCTAAGCCAGCAGGTGGTTATCTCCTGAGGGGTTCCAGGATGTGAGAGTTGGGCTGAGGGACACCCCTCCCCTGCCAGTGCACAAATTTTTGTGCACAGGGCTTCTAGTAAAGATAATAAAAAAATATGATTCTTGTCTCCTCGTTTATTTATTTTTTAACCTCATTTTTCTATTGAGACATATACAGTAAAAATGCAACCTTTTTGGTATACAGCTCTCTGAATTATGAGAAATGCATGAAGTCATGTAACTACTACCACAAAATACAGAAGAACAACAAAAACAAATTTCTTCCTGCCTCTTGAAAGTCAATCCCTCCCCCACCCCTTCTCCTGGCCACCACTAATATGTTTTCTGTCCCTACAGTTTTGCCTTGTCCTGACCTGAATATCACAAAAAGTAGACTTTAAGTCTGGCTTCTTTCACTTAGCATCATTTAGCATAATTTGAGATTCAGCCATGTTGCTTCATACATCAGTAGTCCAATCCTTTTTATTGCTGGGCAGTATTCCTTTGTGTGGGTGCAACACTTGAGCCATCACTTTTTGTGAAGTAATTAAAGCAGTGGTTCTCAACCTTCCTAATGTGGCGACCCTTTAATACAGTTCCTCATGTTGTGGTGGCTCCCAACCATAAAATTATTTTTGTTGCTACTTCATAACTGTAATTTTACTACTGTTATGAATCATAATGTAAATATCTGATATGCAGGATGTATTTTCATTGTTACAAGTTGAACATAATTAAAGCATAGTGATTAATCACAAAAACAATATGTAATTATTGTTTTCTGATGGTCTTAGGTGACCCCTGTGAAAGGGTCATTCGACCCCCAAAAGGGTCGCGACCCACAGGTTGAGAACCATTGAATTAAAGTAACGCAGCTATAAACATTGCATGCAGGTTCCCTGGAGGTCTTTATATTTTATTAGAGGCCTGGTGCACAAAAATTTGTGCACTCGGGGAGGTCCATCAGTCCGGCCTGTGCCCTCTTGGAGTCTGAGACCCCTCAGAGGATGTTCACCTGCTGGCTTAAGCCCACTCCCTGGGGGATTGGGCCTAAGCTGGCAGTCAGATTTGCATATTACCCTTTTATTATATAGAAGTGCACAAATTTTTATATAGGGATGCCTGGCCAGCCTGGGTGAGGGGCTGATGGCTGTTTACAGGCTGGCCACAATCCCCAGCCACCCAAGCTCCCAGTGGAGGCTGGCTGGGAGCAGGTATCTGGGACTTATTTGTCTTCTATAATTGAAACTTTGTTGCCATGAGCAGAGGTCACAGCCAGCTCAGGGCAGGCGGGGAGCTTGGCTTCCTCCATCCCCCGGGCAACCAAGCCTCCTGCTTGCTCCAGCTCTGTGGTTGCCAGCCACCATGTTGGTTGAGTTAATTTGCATATGGTCACTCTGATTGGCTGGTGGGCATGGCTTAGGGCATAGCAAAGGTACAGCCAATTAGCATATTTGTCTCTTATTAGTGTAGTTTTCACTTGGATAAACATCTAGGAGTGGGATTGCTAAATTGTATGGCAAGGCTATGCTTAACTTCTTAAGAAACTGGCACATTGTTTTGCCATGGGCAATGCATGAGACTTCCAGATGCCCTACATTCCTTGCTAACACTTGGTATTATCGGCTTTTGTTTTTGTTTTCACTGTTAGCCATTCTAATGGCATGTAATGTACTGCACTGTGGTTTTGATTTACCTCTCCTAATGACCACAGTGTTAAGCGTCTTTTCATGTATTTATTTGCCATCAGTATATTTCCTTTGATGAAGAGTCTGTTCAAATATTTTTTCCCATTTTCTTATTTCGTGTCTGTTTTCTTCTTTGTTTTGAAAGTTCTTTATATATTCTGAATAAAAATATTTTTTTATCTGACGTATGTCTTGCTATTATTTTCTACTTGTCTGTAGCTTCACTTTAATTTGCTTTAAACTTCTCTTGTCTTAAAACCAAATCCCCGCTTCTGATTTTTCGAAGGCTACAAAAAGGTTTAATAAATTTAGGTGTCTGATGGGAAAACTGCATGGCTGGTCTGTAATTGCAAATGGGGCTTCCCCAGGGGCTCCGAACTCTCATTGACCAACACTTCTGTTAATAACAATAGGCTGGTTCTTTCAGGCTCTGACATTTTAGGAAGTTGTGCACGTGTGCACCTCTGACTTTCTCCTCGGGCTCCTCCCCTCTGCAGAGAGATAGTCTTCTCCTTTTAGCTCACTCTGCACTGTTGGCCAGAACAACGCAGCCTATCTCTGTCAGGAGCTGCCCTGTCAGAGAGCAAGGCAGGCTGAGGGGAAGGCACCGGAGGACTGAGAGGATGGGCAACTCCCTGCTGAGGGAAAACAGGTGAGTGCAGACTCCCTATGAAAGACCAGAGGAGATGGGTCAGGGCAATGTAGTCAGAAATAGAAAAAGAGGTCTGTTCTTAGACAAGGGAGGAAGGGAATTGAATAAGAACTGAGAAGCGTGAAGTGCCTGCTATGTACCAGACACCAATTTCAATTCCTTATAGATTTGGCCTTCTCCTGAAGGAGAAGCAACTGGCAAAAACAGCTGAAAGGAGAGGACTTTATCAAGGGAGGTCTCTGCAGTAGAACAACTTTCCAAGGCCCGGGAAGGGATGCTCTCCTGAGCTCTTAATGCACCACAAGAAGCTTAAGACATTACCACCTTTTTCTTTTTTTAATATATTTTTATTGACTTCAGAGAGAAAGAGAGAGGGTGAGAGAGATAGAAACATCAATGATGAGAGAGAATCATCCATCAGCTGCCTCCCGCACACCTCACACTGAAGGTTGAGCCCACAACCTGGGCATGTGCCCTGACTGGAGTTTGACCCACGACCTTCTGGTTCATAGGTCCACAATCAACTACTGAGCCACCCTCGTCAGGCAACACTGTCACCATTTTAATCACTATTTAAATTCAAAATAAATAGCAAGCTTCCTGCCGTTATGAGGTCATGTCTGCCACACTTCCTGCAACAGGTAAACAGGGGTCATTGACATTGGTAGAGAACTTACCTTAACTTTTCTGGAACCTCAGTTTCCTCATTTCAAATAGCAATAGTAATACAATATCTACCTTGAAGGGTTCTAATGTGTGTGATGCTGGCATAGTTTCTGATACATAGGAGGGTTCAATAATTAGAAGGTAGTTTTCTTGACCATCATCTTCATTAAAATCAAAACAGGAATTAGCCAAAAGCAAATTCATCCTTTCCACTTACTGGTTGGGGGGTCTTCAGACAAGCTGCCAAACTTTTGGCCTCAGTTTCCTCATTAGTAAAAAAATAATCATAATATATTTATATATCATAAGTTTATTCTGAGATTAAATAGAAAGTGTATATGTCATATACATTATATACCTTTATTAGTAGTATACATAGTGTGTATAGTATATCTAGTAAGAATGTATAGTATAACTATTATTTATAATGTGTATAGGTATATATGTATAAAGCATATAGTAAGTAGCTAACATATAGTAAGTAGTGTCTAATTATTAGTTTCTTTTTATCTATACCTCCAGCAAATGAAAAGATGGTTGTACAAAACCCAATCCAAACAATAAAACAATTTGTTGGTGGGGGTTTTTTTATTGTTGTTTTTGTTAACCCTCATCCGAGGCTATTTCTCCATTGATTTCTAAAGAGAGTGGAAGGGACAGGGACCACAACTTGGGCCAGGGATTGAGCCTGCAACTGAAATGCATGCCCTTGACCAGAATCAAACCCATGACCCTTCAGTCTGCAGGCCAGCACTCTATCCACTGAGCCAAACTGGCTAGTGTGTGGGGTTTTTTATTGTTTTGTTCTTGTTTTCTTAATTTACCAACCCCACCCCCACCCCCTTTTATCCTATTCTCTCTGTCTTGGAGCTTTCTGTGAAAGAAAGCAATTTACATGAAACAAAACCAGTGTCCTCCCCCATTCCTGTGTATAATCCCTAAAACTGCATCAAGCAGATAAGCCTTTCTAAATACTGATAAGTCTCAGGGTCATCATGAGAATTCCAGACATTTGGCAACAAATTATTTGGGCTTAGTTGTGCATGGAAAACATTGACAGGCTCTTGTTATGGTAATGGAGAGAAGGTCAGATCAAAGATCATGGTGTATGCTTTAGGAAGGCATAAGTGAAGGCAAAAGGGGGAAGCTGAGGTGGTCTGGGGTTACAACACAAATAGCAGAAATAAGGAAAGTTGGAAAAATTATGAAGAGAGGTGGGAAGCTTGGAAATACTTAACTCAGTCCTGATATGTTGAGTTTTAGGTGGCAACAGAACACTCAAGAGATACCCTGGGATCTGAGAAACCAAAACCTCAAGCAGAGAACATCCAGGTCAGAGCAAACCCAGCAGAACCTCTCCCAGCCTTTGCCCATGAAGAGTGAAGTCGGTCAGATCCTGGATATCACTTACCCCACCATAGAGGACCCTGCTTAGACCCAACCACAGTTGTAATTATAGTAAATGAGGAGACAAGATAAAAGACAACATCATCGTGAACCTTTGGACAAGAGATGTACCATTTTGCCAGAAGCTTAGTGTAACTGCTAACAACTAGAAAACCCCTACTTTCTATTGTCTCTTTGCTTGTCTACCTCAAGTACCTTTGTGTTCAAGTTCCATCCCAGACATTCCATTTTTAAGCTCTAAGGTTCTATTTCTGAAATGGCCATACCCCCCTCATCACTACAATTGTTGGAAGGTTTATGGAGCAAAATGTGTGTGATTACCTGGATGCTGTTAAACCAAGACGTCCTCATAAGTCCTTTCCAACCAGGTCCTCTGAATGCCAGGAATCACTAATGTATGGAAATAGTGTCCCTGAGCCCAAGAATCCCAAAGGGTGCCAAAGCCAGTTGTTCTGTGGCCTGTAGTGTTCTGCACTTTCCCCATGATTTCAAGACAAGGTTTTAAAAGAATATCAATTAAAAAGCAACCACTGAGCCAAATCTTGGGTTAGAAATTAGGGTCCCAGAGATTCCCCCCAATAGTATGCATTTCTTCACTGTAAGCTAAGGACATATGTTAATTCACGTACTCCAAATGATGGAACAGGACAGAGGGCCATGGACATTATAACAAGGGAGATATCAGATAGACTGGGGAGCCAGGCAAGTTTTGTGCAAGATATGGGAACCTGGAACTGCTGGCCCATAGAGCTTGTGTCATAGACATTTGTCTGGACTCCTTCAAAGGGGTAATCTGAACCCACCCCAAACCAAAACATCTAAATTAAAATGCAGGAACATATTGCCGAAACATTGAGTGGGGAAAATAGCTGATTTAAAAATAGCTTTAGCTTATATTTAACTTTACTTGACCTCCATGAGGTAAGCAGTGTAAGTATCCTCATGTTATATATCAGTGATGGCGAACCTATGACACCCATGTCAGAGGTGACAGGTGAACTCACTTTTTTGGCTGATTTTTCTTTGTTAAATGGCATTTAAATATATAAAATAAATATCAAAAATATAAGTCTTTGTTTTACTATGGTTGCAAATATCAAAAAATTTCTATATGTGACACGGCACCAGAGTTAAGTTAGGGTTTTTCAAAATGCTGACATGCCGAGCACAAAAGGTTCGCCATCACTGTTATAGATTAAGAAACTGTGGTTCAAGAAGGCCAGAGATATTGAGCCAGTAACTCAAAATCAATAGACTCCTTTCATCCCACTCCCGTGAATCTGATTTCTTAGCTTTGGTATGATTTGATGGTTTTCTTCTGGTGTGTCTTTAGCCACAGAAACAGGAGATATAAACAAATGTCTTACAGTACTCTGAATATAGCCTAAAGAGAAGGAAACACTATAGCCATGATTCTCAGTCCCAAAGGCTCTGATGGTACATTGACCCTCGAATACTCAGCCACCCTAGTGCCCACAGCCAAGGTCACATGCAGCAGCCTCACCTCCACTTCCCTTTCTGGGGAAATTCCTGGGAAAGCTCACTGGGGAAGATACTGTTGGGTGGTGTTTTCCAAAAGTCTTTACATAGTGTTCCTGGAATACACAACGTTAATGTGGGCTTTGACTGCACCTCATCTTCAGAAAGATGCCCAGAGGACACTTTAGACTTCAGCCTAGATGTCTGCCTGCAGGGAGATCTGGCCTTTCTACTGTAAAGAATAGAACAAGGCAGATTTGATGATCTCCTGAGCCAGTTAGCGTTGCTCTGTTCTTAGCTCCTTATTCATTTATCAAATATTTATTGAAAATATATTTTCTGTGTGCCAGGTACTGTGGCATATGTTGGTGATATATACCATGATGTTAAGCATGGTCCCCAAATGTATGAAGCTCACAGTCTAGTGTGGGATAAAGACAAGCGAGCAGGCAACTATAATATAGTGTGTCCAGAGGAAATTCAGAGTGCAGTGGAATCCTGTGTCAGTATTAACTAGACCGTACCTGGAAGCAATTTCTAAAATCTACGCACACTTATGCCTTGATTTTCTGGAGATAACTCTGTGTCCATCATCACTAGGGACCAAGTAACTCGCTGGAAGTGAGAATGAGAGCCTTTTCCTTTTCTGAGAACACAGAAGAAGGCTTCTTCCCTAATTAGGAGTGGATAGTGTCATCTTCATATTTCCAAAGGGCAGTTGATGTCCTGAAAGGACCAAGGCATCCTAGCATGATAGATGTGTCCAAGTCACCAAGAATGAATGCCCTCTTGGAGAGAGAAACAAGATTTTCACAGAAATGTCACAGGGAAGAGAGTGACCCTGACAAAGCTGTAGAAACCAACCTTGTGATCTGTGTCATCTCTCCGGTATTTTAGGTGCTGGGGCCGCCACATGGCTGAAGGGTGTTTCTGCCTCCCCTGGTGAGTGGAGTATTGTTTTCAGGAGTTATTTCCCTACGTGTGGTTTGAGTGTGGTATTTGCTGTAAGTTACCTGTGAGCTCCCTGCTGTCTGTGGCCACAGCGGAAGCCTGTCACTAGCCCTGACGATCATCTGACTTAGGAAAGCGATGTTTCAAGTTTGCTTTAAAAACAGGAACAAGAGTCTCATGGGTGGTACGTGCTCCTCAAATGGGAAAGCCTCGGAAGCAAGGATGAAACTGGCTGCCAGTGCAGAGAAAGACCCCTTTCCCACACGGCAAATCCCAGCGTCTCTGTGTACAGCACACATTTCTGTCCCTTGCACAGAAAATTTATGACCAGAGTGATCATATAATTCATTATCCAAACTGGGAAACTTTTGAGAGTGACAGGGATGCTAAAAATAATTGGTAACAACATTTAACTAGACTGTCATAGCAAACCAGGACATATGGTCATTCTCCTTAGAGCAGATGCCATCCTGGATTCCTGAGATGATAGGGCTTCTATTATATTTATATTGTGTTTTCTCCAGGGGGTCATCTATATAGTGTGGTTACTTCTGTGCTCAGATTGGACATATCTGTTTTGTTCAGTTGTTTGTCAGAGATCATAGATTGGGATCAAGGCTAGGATTTGAAATATCAATGGCTTCTTAACTAATATGATATGAAAGAAATTAATATTTTGTCAAAAAATCTCCAAAAATACTACTATAACATCACCATAATTCTTCACCTCTAAATCCATTTCATATCAGCCTTAGAAAAGGGAGGAGGAGAGAAAATTTATACAAAAATATTAGATTCTCCTTGGTCTCCTTGCTTTTTCCTTTTTTTTCTATCCTCTTATTTCTCTATGCTGAAGAAGGTAATAAAAAAGGCCTATGACTTTAACAAATGAAAAAGTTAAAAAGAAACTTTTATAGAAGGTATAATTTCCTTTGAGAGTTTCTGAATTTTGAAACAAGCAATTTACTTTCCTTCTCTTTTGCAGGAAAAAGATGCACATTTTTAAGGCCAGGCAAGATTTCCCAAAGGAAGGTAAGTTATTGCTTTCACATCATTTTCACTTTTGATAGACTTACACTTTCAAACTGCCCCTTCTCTGTGTTCCCAGAGCTCCGTGGGCATATTTCTGTACAAAACTTACACAGTTTTGCTGCAATTTGTCCACCTGTAAGGCTCTGTTTCTCCAGTAGACTGTGAGCTCATTGAAGCAGGGATTGGCTTATTGATCTCCATATGCTTTCAGTTAGTTCCTAGGTTTGAAGGAGTTAACTGGGAACAGTAAATGCAAAAGGTGGAGGTCTGAGGCACTCAGAAGGAGCAGCAAGGAGGCCAGCTTGGGCACAGAGAACACAGAGGAGGGGCAGGGCCTGGTGCTCACATTTAGGAATGGGGCTCCTGTCTTGAGAACTGCAGGGCTTTGAACAAGGGGCATTTAAGACATCACCCAGGTTGCTGTGCGGAGCACAAATTGTGGTCAGGAATGGCAAAAGCAGGTGCTGGAAGACCACCTAGGAGTTTATGCAATGGTCTCTGGCGACAGAACAGGGCTGAAGTTAAGGAGACAAAAGGTTTTGAGAAGGAGAGAGTGGTGAATGGTTATCACAAGTAAGAAAGAAAGTAAGAAAGTATAGGCCCGAGGACAGGCCACTGCATTTCTAAAGAAGAAACACAAAGTTTGCCTTTGCCTTCTGGGCTGAAAGAGGAGAGCCTAGCTTATTCATTCTGAATCTTAGAAACGAACCCTGTAAGGTGTGTGAGTGAATAATACAGCCCTCCCACCCCTGGCCCTTTTACCCCGGGGAATTGTGGTTCCTAGGAAACCCTAATCCGCATCAGAGCAAAACATGGTAGAAACAGGGCCAGTTCTGCTGAAACTCACACACCCTTTTCCTGTGGGTTAACCAGGGGAGCCCAGCAGGTCCATGGGACCTCATGGAGCGATGAGCCTCCTGAGTGTCGGGAGGGAGGAAGAATAAATCCAAGCACGTACGATCAGGTGGCTAACATGGGCACACCCACCTCCCTGGCAGGGTGGTATCATGAGGCTTCTATGTGAAAGCTTGGATTTGTCTATTGCTCTGGTGTGTTTGCAAGGGGTAGCAAGTGTGTCCATTTGCCTCTTGGCTGAAAGGCCAGGGCCAACTGCTTTTGAAAAATTGGCCTGCTTCTGTTTTTATCTGCAGCAGGTTCCAGAGTGGGAATGTTCAGCTTAAGAGTTTTCTCCTCTGCAAAGCTTTCCTTGAGCACCAGCCTCCACGCTACCACCCTCCCCCGTCACCTACAGTAAAAACTACAGCCCTCCCCTGTGTTGTGGATCTCTCATAGGCCCTTGCCTGTGCTAGCCTGTGAGCCCCTTAAGTACAGGGACAGTGTCTGGTTATCTGTCTCCTCAAGGCCTGGTGCAGAGCAGGCATGCAATGAATTTTGTGTAAAAAAGAAGAGATGAGAGGACAGGTGGTAGGGAAGTGTGATTTCTTAACTGAAAACCCACTGAATAAGTCTTCCTCCACTCATCTCAGCCTGAGCCCAGCTCTGGACGTGTCTTGTTTCAATGGCCTTGCCATTGCCCAGGGATGAGCTATAGCCCTGATAAGGGCTGTCCCAGCTGTTCCTTGGCTTTCTGGTTGTTTGTATCCCAGTCCCCCACTCAAACCTCCCCATGACCTGAAATTCATTGAGTGTATTTTCTTTCTCAGGTGGAGGAACATCCACTGCTACCCAGCAGGTAATATGAGCATCTCTAAGCCTTTTCTGAGTTGATGGTAAACATGTAGACACTCCAAATGGCAGGAGAAGTTGGCCTGCAAGACCCCTTCTGACCTAGACATGAAAGAAAACCATTAGGTGCTCATGCTTCTAAGCCCAGGGCTGTATGCAGGCCTGATGGCAGAGGCAGCAGCACCTCTGTTGTACTATTTATTGAAAGAAACTAACATTTACTGAGCACTTAGTTCACGCCAGGCAGTGTGCTGAGCACTTTGGGTGCATCATCTCACATAACTGTCACCACAACCCTGCAAGATTGGTACGGCCCCCTCCCCTTTTTACAGATGAGAAAACTGAGAGATTAAGTGAAATTCCCCAAAGCCAGACAGCTTTCGAGATGGCAGGGGCCTGATTCAGAAGCAAGCCTAACCCCCATATCCCTGCTCTTTCCTGTATATTTTGCTTTTAATCTCCTGAGGCTTCATTGAATGAGACCTTCTCTTCCATCATCTCCCTTTATGTTATCTGGCCTGGGTGGCTAAATATCATAACCCAGTCATATTTAGGTGTCATGAGAGTGTTCTCTTTTGTAAGAAGGGGCTGTTCTCAGGGTCCTGAGACTGGGAATTACATGGAATGGCCAGGAGTCCCGCCTGAACAGGGGCAGAGAGCATGGGCCCGGGAAGGCTGAATACTCCAGGCACTAAGAGCATTCTGGCTGCCTGGGCTAGGTGTGAGGGGAGGGGCAGCCATTCAGGCAAAAAGGCCAACAGATGGGGGGGACGTGGTTTGTGGAAGCCAGGCTTTGCGCAGGGCCGAGCATATGTTGAGACTGAAGCGTAAAGAGAATGACAAGAGGTCAAGTCTTGATGATGGCTCTCTGACCAGCAGGACAACGCTGACCAGAACTCTGCAGAGGAGCTGTGCTACACCCTCATCGATCACAGGGCCCTTGGCAGGAGGCCATCAGGGAACTCTGCCGAGGAGTACTATGAGAACGTTCCCCGCCAAGTCCGGAGGCCCAGAGAGTCGCTGAGAGGAACCGAGACTGAGTACTCACTTCTCCATGTGCCTCTCTCCCCTAGGCACCCACCTGCCCCAGAAGGTGAATATGAGCTTCTCAGTGCCCAGTAGAATCTCTTCTCCTGCCCTGCAAAAGCCACGTCCACATACACGCCCCTCTGAGGCTGAGTTTTCCCATCCATAATGAAGCAGTGCGCCAACATGTGTTCCACACCAGCACATAACAGCTGGGGGTGGGGAGCTCTGCTTAACTCCCCCACCCTCACCGCCACCTGCACACAACAGCCCTTTCTACAGGGATTTCTGCAGAACATGGTTTGTAAATCACAGGGCTTCTTAGATCCTACTCAATATTCAACATCCCAAAACTGACCAATGATCCTGAAGCCGCTCTTTGAGAAGGGAAGGACCATATTTGGCTCCAAATGGCTTTGGAAATGGCTGCTGTGCTCAGAGGCAGGTGGGGCTCCCTGGTCACAATGGTTTTTGCTCCTCTGTCCAGGTTCTTATAAAATGTCCACACAGTTGTCCTTTGAAGCCACAAGGAATTCATTCATTCCCACACGTGTCTGTGGGCCCACCTCCTCACTCCTAGCCTTCCAGGTGGGCGCCTGTATGTTCTGCTCACTCTATGCCTCTAAATGGGTCCTTTGCATAGTGTCCTTTCACTTTCTGGCTCTGGTGACTTAGTTGGATACATGGGTTGAAGCAGTACGTCTCAGGTCAAAATTTTACATAATTTTTATATGATTTGAGTCCATATATTTTTTGAACGTGGCATTTAAATCTTAGTAAAAGAAATCATAGCATGAAACAATGATAGAATAGAAAGATCTTTGGAGATCCTACTCCCACTATCTTTTTTTTTGGCTTATTAGCCCAAAGTAATGTTGCAAGTTAGAGGCATAACCTTATCTGGAATCTCATTTCCTGGCTTCCAATTTAGTGTTCTTCCAATGTACTTCCAATATACTCTACTCTATGGTATGTATGAGTATTAAGCAATATGTCCTGTATAAAATATGCATAAAATGTCTATGTGGGGAAAATAACATATACACACATCCCTTCTCAAATGAGTACTTCTTCATATGCTCTGATTATTTATTTTCCCTCATCTTTTCTTCAGGGTTCCTAGAATTATGTATGCCCCTAAAAGAGAGGTCATCAACCTGTGGCCCATGGGCCAAATCTGGCCAACTGCCTTTTTTGTGTAAATAAAATTTTATTGGAATAATACAGCCACAGTCATTTGTTTACGTAATGTCTGAGGTACCACAGGAGATTAGTTTGTAGACCTTGCCCTAAACAATCAGAATTGAGATGAACTAAACAGAAATGTGTTTGGGTATTAATGTAACTCATAAGAGCAGGTACCAATACAATGGTATGGAAATATTAAACTACAAATTAGATGAGTGAGCCCAACAACAACTAACAAATTAGACTATTTCTATATTCGCACCTGTGTTTTCAACTTCCTGTTTTAACCCATGCATTGTCTTAATTTTAGGGATTTTAAAATAGTAAGAGATTTGTGAAGCCAATCACATCCTAGTATCTTATCCTCCGTTAACTTCTTGTTTTTAGCAGAACTCTTTCACATGGAACCATAACTTTGACAGTCGGCCAAGATTGACTCAAGTTCGAAAGGAGTCATGGGTGGTGGCAGGCAATGCTGTACAAGAAAATTAACATGGTATGGGGGACAGCGTGTGGAATCCAGAGTCAAATAATCGATTATTGAAATCCTGGTTCTATCTCTTCCTCTCTCCATGACCTTGAGCATGGAACTTGGAGGCTTAACTTTTCACCCAGACACAGGAAGATTACATCTAATGTATGTAAACCATTTAACATAGATCCTGAATACATGGAGCAAAGGGAAACAAAAAACTTCATGATGTACAGAGAAACCACTGGTTGATGTACCCAATCCAGGGTACCCATCAGTCCTCTAGCAGGCAGAAACCCAGAATTCTGCGTTTTATGCAGGGAATTTTTACTTGGATATTGAACTGTTGTGGAAGCTGATGGATTCAAATTTTCTCAACATAACATGATGAGTTATATTTGTTTGAGTCTCATCATGTGAAAGTATTTATTACCTGTCTGAAACAGTATATGCCTTTTTTCAGGAACATACTAATTATAAGTGCTTAACCAAAGAAAGTTGTTCTTATAATAAAATTTGAGGGATTATGAGAGGAAATTATTTTTGAGTAGAAGAGTCCTTTGAAATACCTACGATGTCTGTTTATATTGCTGATCCTTTTTATGGATTTCAGGATTTCTGATGAAAGTTGTATATCCTCATCACAGAACATGCACACACACACAATATTTGTATACAGTTGTAAAGGGTTGAGGATGCAACTCCTTAGTTAAAAAATTCCTGTTCTTGATTTTTAAAAAAAATGAGGCTGAGGATTTAAATTTTATCCTCAAGTCACAAATATATCTGAAAATTCCCCTCCCCCATGTTGGTCTCAACTGTACACAGCCAAAGTTCACGGAGGCACATTTAATGCAGCTACTGTGGGCTCTGTGGTTTCTGTTTTACATTCATACTAGTACCTATAAATAATCCCTGAGTCAGTGAACAAATTCTTATTTAGAACATAAGAGAGGTACAAGAAAAGGGCAAAGATGGGTGAGGAAAATCGACCGTTGACAACAAATAAATTCAAATGAGGACATTATTAGGACAACCTTGGGTAACGAGGGCTACAGCTATTCTCAGGGGTGGAAGGGCATAGGCAGAATGAAAAAGGTGTGCCCCAGGACTCCACAGAAGTCTTCAGAGAATAGAAGATTCTGTTTAAATTTCTGTGACTCTGTTCTCTTCCAAATCAGCGTCTTGTGTTCAAAAAGCAACTTGAAAGCCATTGGATCTGAGCATGCCCCAGCTCTCAGTTCCTCCCCCTTTCCCACAAGGAGGTCTTTGGCAAGGCACTTGGGGAAGGATTGAGCATCATCATAATCCCAGAGTCTCCTACAGCCTGAAGATCACACTTCTCAACTCATCCCTGTCCTCTCTCTACTCATGCTCCTGGATGGTGTGTGGTTGCCTAGTGGGCTGAGCTGTGCTCCCCAAAACTGGGGAGCTCGGGGCTTGTCTTCCCACCTCTCCAGGCCTTAGTTTCTTAACCATAAAAAAGGGGACTGCCTCCTAACACTAAGAGGGTATTTTTCTAATCATAAAGAAAAATATTAAAGGATGTGTCTGCATGCAGCTGCCAGCAATGCAGTAATCATGTGAATTACCTTATTTTACAGTAATGGGAGCAGAGGAGGAAGATTTAGAGAGATAGCTCCCATTTTTCTCAGCACTGGTCAGATTTTGAATGGGGCAAGGACAGATTGTGCACCTGACCCTAGTAAGACACAAACTTAAGTAAAGAAAGGCAAACCTCTTTATTCAAATCCCACCACTGCTTCAGGGTCAGTTTATGTCCTACTTCCCAGGCAAATATTTTTCCAATTATACTATACTGGATACTCTTTCCTCGGACCACCCACAGCTCTATATTTTATCTTTATTTAATTTTAACACCTGACTCCCCCCCCCGCCCCCCACCTCACGTTGTTTCTTGTTTCACCTATGGCAGAGCCTGAATCCCTGTAAGACCAGAAGTTTCCTTCCTTATTATGGTCTTCTTCTACACTGGTGCCTTCTTTAGTCTTCTGCAAAACTCATTATTAAAAAATCTATAGGACTAAGTTACATTGTGAGGCAAAAAAGAATTGAACACGTGGATAGAATTTTTGTTGGAACAGTGGGGTGACAGGTTCCTCTGATCTGGCAGTATCCTTTCAGTCCATATCTAAAAGACTTCCACAAAAGACCAGTCTCAAATTGTTCAATTATTTCACAGGTATTTGTTAAAACCTTATTATACACCAGACGTTATGCTCATCATTAAAATGTGTGATGACCAATATTCACCTCTGATAGCAGAGTAGTGTATATGTAAGTGCCATTTTTTCCAAACCCTCCAAATGCTTTCATCACAAAGTTCAGGTCTTACCACACCACGTGGGCTAAAGAGTGCACTCTATGGAAAATTCTATGACTCGTAAGTGGTCAAAACCCAGGACAAGGTATTTGCATCTTGGTGCTTTCCAAAGGAGAAGGGAAGATGAAAACCAACCCTGTCTTGATCCCAGATATACACCAACCATTCCTTCCAGTCCCAGGCCCTTCAGACACCTGGCCCTGCCAGAGAGGGCTCTGGGAGGAAGTGGAAGGGATCAAAGCACCCGCCCTCACTCACTGAAACAGAGAGGAGGACTCAGCCCACCCCAGTTCAATCTCACTCCCTCAGAAGGGGAAGCTGCCCTCAGGGAAATGAAAAGATCACTTCCAACACCATTTATTGCAAGAAAACACCAACCCAAATCATGGCCCTGGAGAGTTGCCACCAATGAAGCAAAGGGAAATGGGACAGCGCAGAGGGCAAAAATAATTTATTGTAAATATTTTTAAATCCTTTTCCATGAAAAGTCTTCATTATTTTCTAAAAAGTACAAATACATTAAAGCTTACACTTGACATATAAAAAAAAAAAAGAGGAAGAAGGATAATTCACCTGTTTTGCTAGTTTGAGGAACTATCCTCAAAATGAGACAGTGTTACAAGGAATGCAGCTTCTAGTTCAATAAGAAGGAAAGTTTTCACATTATCCAGAGTCCTGGGTCCTAAAGAGTTTAAGGCAAATCTACCTGAGACAAGACTCAGACACGCCCCCATACACAGCTGCCCCCATACTCACTTCCACCTAAGGTCAACCTAACTGAGATATTAGGCTAAAGAGCTGTCATTATAGGACCACAAACTCTTTCTCCTGGAAAATTCCCAGCAATTTCCCTGAAAACAAATAATTCTGATCCCTCATGACAGGCAAATGACCGAGCCAGTTACCAATATTCTCCCACCCTGTAAGTGAACTGTCATTAAGCTTATAACTGTTTCAGAGAGTGGCTCTTCCTGTTTCAAAACTATCTTTCATCAGCTCTATGATCAATGCCTGAAGACACTGAGTCCTACTAGAAGGCCATAACACTGGACCATGAAAAGCACTTGTGTAATAGTTCTAGCAGATGGTTAGGGTTCTTAATGATTCCCTGATGGAAGGTTGTGAAAATATACATGGAAAAACTATCCAAAATGAGAGCAAAGTGTACAAAGCTCACAGGGAATTATGTCTTTAAGAGAAGTGTTCAGGAATCATAGAACAATGAGGAGATACAAAATAATTTTAAAATGAACATTTCCTTTCTGTAGCTATTGATAACAGTGACATTGGATGATGTGCCTACAGCTGATGTGCTAAGAAATGCAGCTACAGGTCATGAAGGTAGACACATAACCATGCTGCTCTGGGCTTAAATGCCCTCCCTATCAGGAGGCTTGCTTAGAGGTAGATTAAATATAATGTTGAGCAGGAGGGGGATTTCAGTGAACCACTGGCTCAATTCTCCCTCACCTGCTGCCACCTCTCCAACAGCACAGGCAGGCGGGATCCTGCCCGAAAGTCTACCCCAGCACTGAAGAGAAAGTGTCCACATGGCGGTGGGGACAGGTAGTGCTTCAAGAATAGCAGTGACTTCACACTGGAAGGTTCACCCTGCTACTCGGTCACCCCTGTCCCATTTGTCTTCTTGCTTCTACCACCAGTGGGACCAGGGCAGCTCTTGCTGTTTTGCTGGATGTCCTACTGTGCACAATCAGGAGAAAAAGAACCGTGCCTAGCCCTCTCGTCATTTCAAATCCTTCCAGTTAATTCACAGTATCTTTTCTGTAAAATAGAATGAGTTATCTTCATCCCACAGCTCAGGGAACACTGCTTCAGACACAGCTGGCCTCTACCACTTCACTCTGAAAAGAAAACACAAACAAAAGACACTTAAGAATTATAATTAATTTAAACACCCATAGTTTCATTTGACTTTATTTGGTTTGAATATATACTCGTATAAAATTAGAATATTGTTGCCAAAACCGGTTTGGCTCAGTGGATAGAGCGTTGGCCTGCAGACTGAAGGGTCCCAGGTTCGATTCCGGTCAAGGGCATGTACCTCGGTTGCGGGCAAATCCCCAGTAGGAGATGTGCGGAAGGCAGCTGATCGATGTTTCTCTCTCATCAATGTTTCTAACTCTCTATCTCTCTCCCTCCCTCTCTGTAAAAAATCAATAAAAATATATTTTTTAAAAAATTGGAATATTGTAAATTCCTAACAGAAAATTGCCTCTTCAGTCAACACACACACAAACACAAACTCCAAATCCTTTCCAAAAGGCAAATACCACATTGTCCGCTCATTGGTTTGGGTATAATTCATGAAAAATAACATTTGGTGAGGCCTTTTGGATACTGAGGACATTTTAACATTCAGGCCTTTTTCATGATCTCATTATAAAAATACCTCTAAATGTTCAGGGTTTTTTTTTAAAGGTGCACAATATGTCATGAGAAATCCAGATGAGGGAAATGGTGTGAGCCGGCCTGGCTAAGGGGGTGGTGCCCACCCAAGGCCCTGGGACACTACATAGAGAGCCCTTCATGCTCTGCCTGAGGGTTCTCACAGTTGACGTTGGGGGCTGGGTAGTTCTAGAGAGCACTTTAAGAAGAATCCCTGACCTCACCACTAGATATTAGTATCCAACATACAATCTCAATAGTGACAACTAAAAATGTCTCCAGACAGTCCTGGCTGGTGTGGCTCAGTTGGTTGGGAGTTATATATCTCAATATTTTTCAAAATCCTTTTTGATTATTATAGTAAGGAAAGTTTTTATTTTTATAAGGCATTACAATATGCCTGCAGCTAGGTCAAATAGTCATTGTATTTCCAAATCAGAAAATGAGAAATATGCACAAAATACCCCAGGAACCCAAATTAGAGCCTAACTTAAAGTTCTGACTCTAAAGTACACACACATATGAACCCCAAAGGAACCACAGACTTGACTCAGAGAGTCCTTGGAATCCGTGAAATTATAAAATTTTGTGTAGGGGAGGAGTTCTGTGCCTTTTATTCTGGAGAGAAGGTACTTGGTTGTCCTCATCCTCTAACGCAACGGTTCTCAACCTGTGGGTCGTGACCCCTTTGGTGGTTGAACGACCCTTTCACAGGGGTCACCTAAGACCATCCTGCATATCAGATATTTACATTACGATTCATAACAGTCGCAACATTACAGTTATGAAGTAGCAACGAAAATAATTTTATGGTTGGGGGTCCCAACATGAGGAACTGTTTTAAAGGGCCAGAAGGTTGAGAACCACTGCTCTTAGGAGTATACGAACCCCACAATGTTAAGAATCTCTGCTCTTTGAAGAATTAGAACATTATCTTTATGAAAAACTAGTTGCCCAGCTCATCACAGGCATGGTGGTAACCCACCAAGCCCCCAGAGCATGTGAGCATGAGGAACTGGCCTAAGCACCCACAGGGTTCACTTGGTCCCTCCCAGGGGCCTCGCCTATCCCTGCCACAGCCATCTCTTTCATTGGAGTTTACCTCTCACTTGCCCTACCTGCCTTCTCTTGTCTTTTTCCTTCCTCACTTCCCAAATGGTCACTGTCTACCCATCCATTTGAGAAGGGCCTGATAGCCATAGTCCTGAAAATATTTAATGGCTGGAATGCGGCTCAGGCATGCTATGGAAAATGGATGTGGGGTCACAGCGTTCCCCAGGAGAAATGATTGAGAGAAAACGTACAATCTCCTGGGGAGCAGCAACTGGCTGACTCACATGGCATCCCTGGGGCCGGAGGCAGAGCCAGACTGGGAAATGTCTCTGAGGCTTTTTAGCTGAGCTGTCCTCTGGCCTCTAAAGCAACATCCCCTTTATCATACTCCCAACCTCACAATCCCCTGAAGCCTTTCTCACACTCCTCCCCTGACCCTTGCCTACATTTGGAAAGAGCTGGTAACCACAACATGTGCAGAGAGGGCTCGGAAAATCAAGGCCAATCACCACAGCAGGCGGCCACTGCATCTCATGCAGGGTAGATTTCCCCCTCTCACCTCTACACAGGAGGGCCCCGTCCGGTTTCTTTCTTTCTAAAATTCTTGTGGAGGGTGCATAGCCCCTCCACTCCACACATGTATGCTGTCTGCCTGGCCCACAGACACACTTTATTTATCCAGATGCTCTGTGAGGAAACTATTCCTTTATGAGACTTTCCCAGTGAACTGAAATTTGACCTTATGAATGTCATTGTTTCTGTTTAGTGTGTGTGTGTGTGTGGTGGGGGGGGGGGAGTATTGTGTGTGTATAAAAAGCTTTAAGAACTGCTTGCTAAAACTTTCTACCGAGATTAATCTACTTCACCTTCAGCCATCATGATCAGTGCCCGCTCTCGTGCTGAAGTCCCACGAGTGCTTTATAACCTCTCTGTTTCACTCTCCTGACGCTGGGCTGCTGGCACCGTGCCTGGTGCTACACGTCTCCTTCTATTTGCCTTTTTCATTCATTCCACTGTTACTTACTGCTCATGTGCAGAGAGTGTTTCTGAAGGGTGGTCCACGAGAAAATGAGACGCCCAAGATGGTTGGCCTGTGGGGCTAAGGAGAGCTAGTGCATCTCTAAGGGAGGACTCGGAAGGAAGTGAGGAGAGATGGAGAGAAAGGCCAGAGCTTCAGTAGACACATGGAAGGACATGTCAACGCTGTGGCCATTCCACCTCCCCGCCTACCTTCCTCCAAGTCTTGGCAGGAAAGTTCTCCTGATAAGCGGGGTGTATTCTGTGCTTATTAAACAACATATCAGTTTCCCTGTTTTGTTCTTAGTTTTAAAAGTAGATGAGTAGATTTATTATACTTTTCTAAGGAAATAGGTCAATTTGCCTTTTTATACCTCTCCATTAATTTCTTAATGAACTCAGTGGCCTTCAACAGAAGAGATAAGTTGCCAAGTGAGATAATACTTCAATGATTTAGCTATATTGTTTATTGCAAACTCTTTAACACTTACTTCTCTTATGAAACCATGGTGTTTCTATGAAGAGTATAGTCACAGTTCAAAGATATTGTGCTTTGGGTTCCAGACCACCATAATAAAGAGAGCATCACAATAAAGCAAATAAAAATCTTTTTGCAAGTGAAGGGTCTTGCCTTCGATTTGTAAAGGGGAAAAAAAAGCAACATCCATGAAGCACAATGAAATGAGATATGCCTGTACTAATGCCATTATGAAGTGGAGTATGGGGCTTAGCATGTGGGTGAACTATAACAAGGAAACTTTCAGCAATCCTCATCTTTATAGTTTAATTACTTTTTCCATGATTTCCCCCCAACTACTCAGTCTGGAGGATAGGGACTGTGTAACCTCCACAGAACATGGAACATCACCTGCACAGAAATCAACCGAACCCTCTGTCCCCAGTCTGGTTCACTTGTTTACCATCCCAACTCTGATTTTTTGACATGCTCAACTTACCGTAGAGCAACAGGGACTCCGGATCAAGCCCCAGAGTCTCACAGCCAGACAGGTTCTGATCATGGAAATCCTGTAGCAAAATGCCCAGCACCAACTCCTCACTCATCATATACTTCATAAAACTGTCATCTTCCGATGGAACCCCAAACTGCAGGTGGTAGGTTATTGTGGCATTTTCCTCTCTAAAAGGCAAATTAAACAGAGAAAGTCAAACGAAACAGAATCGCACTGCCAGTCTGGAAACTAGTTTTAGCAATAACATTTCTTTTTTTAATTCCTTGTGTTCTTCCAAGTACAAAATAGCAAAGGGTGTGCTGCCCTGGAAGAATCCTCTTCCACAGGTCCAGCACAGAATATCCCAGTGACTCTCACCGCCTCCTTCCCCTTAGAACACAGCCCCTGGGAGTCCACTGAGAGAGGACACTGAAGGGAGAGATGGGACCAGCGATTGTCAAGGAAGAGCCCCGGGCCCACTGTCTGCCCCAACTCCAGCCTTTGACCGCCCAGGCAGGCCAGGAAAGCCCTGTTCTCCTGCTGTATTCCCTTCTGCATGCGCTCACACAACACCCCTTTCCCTGCCCCAACAAGTGCAGGTTAGTCAGAGCAAATTGCTTCAGCCAGTTCATTAGTGTTTAAGGTAGGGCCCAAAGCTCCCTGCCTTCAGGGGTGCAGAACTCCTAGTCCCCCACTGCTCGCCCTGTGTACCAGCAGCAAATCATATCTCCCTGCTTTGACCCCAACTAAGAAACTTGTTGTGTCTCATTTCCACTCCTGAGGCTCCCAGCAATGCGCTCTCAAGAAGGGGACCTAAGGAATTTTTCCCATTATCAAAATAAAAATAATCATAGGGCTATTCTCAGTTAATGAGTAGATTATACTATCTTAAATGCTACATCAACATTTAAGTTTTCCACAATTATCCTATTACTTTCAAGATGACCCAGATTAAGAGCAAGAAATAAAATAATTAAGAGGTAGCCACATCTGAGACTGTAGCCCTAGGGCGTTTTATAAATAAGCCAGTTCCAATAGTAAGCGCTGCCCTTATTTAAGGACAAGCAAAGAGCTCCCTCTTGTGGCCAGAGGTCATCTTAACATTAACATGGCTGACAACTTTATACAAAGACAGCCAAGAAAAGTGCCAAACCCTGTGGTTTAGATGAATGACCCTGGGGAAACAGTTTCAAGGACGCCACTACAGGCAGGCTGAAAACTGCTTTCAAACTCTAAGCCAGCAACTCCAGTGTACAGGTGCTCCCTGTGCTTTACCTTCTAATTACCGCTAAGGATGGTCACATCTTGACTCACAGCCACCTTATGCTCCCATGGGCAAAGGGTTGGCTTACGGAAAGAACTAGAGGCTGACTTTCATAACACCAGACCAGATGCTGAATGAGAAGTTTGCTCTGTCTAACGCAGACTGGCCAGCCCATTGTCATTCTACCAAGTGAGTCTTGGGGTGAATGTACTCAAGGCTGAATTCTGAGGAGAGAAGAGGGATTTTCAGGGAAGCAGAGAACTCTGTGGGCTTTGCCTCATCTGCCCACCACCTGAGTGGGTCCAGCAGCGGATGAACCAATGGGCATTTCCCAGGTTTTCATTGAGCGGGGCTGGGACTGAGGTCAGGATTTGTGTCTACACAAATGCCTGCAGGCCTGTGGCTGTCTCCTGCTCACAGGCAGCAACTGTGGCTTTGGAGGCAATGGCTTTTGTTCCTCAGCTGAAACTCTGCCTAGATTTTAAAAAATGTTCCCAAAGTTCTTTATCTAAAATACTAAAACCCTTGGGTTTTTCTTTCTAATAACTTTTAAAAGCAGATTCTGTAACGCTAATTGTTCAGACTTTGAGTCATGTTTCACTCCTTTTTCTGATGAGTTTTTCCCAGTGTCAACCCCAAGCCATTATACAATCCCACGTCCTCTAAGACGTAATAGGAGACTGGATTCTTGGAAAAGCCCTTCAGTCTAGGTGGCTCTCAACTTTGGCTCAGTCTTTGAGTTGCAAATTGGGGCAAGTGCACAGAGGAAAGCATGTTGGGGCTAATTATGCATTTCTCCATTTTCTATTGGTGTTTTAATACCAAAGGCTTATGATTAAAATGAGCAATGTCAAAGAAGTCACCTTACTTGGCCATAGAAATGATGAGATCTTATTTGTGATAGCATGAGTGGACCTAGGGCCATGGTCGGCAAACTGCGGCTCACGAGCCACATGCAGCTTTTTGGCCTCTTGAGTGTGGCTCTTCCTAAGCCTTAGGAGTACCCTAATTAAGTTAATAACACTGTACCTACCTATATAGTTTAAGTTTAAAAAATTTGGCTCTCAAAAAAATTTCAATCATTGTACTGTTGATATTTGGCTCTGTTGACTAATGAGTTTGCAGACCACTGACCTAGGGTATTATGCTAAGTGAAATAAGTAAGTCAGAGAAAGACAAATACTATATTATTTCACTTGTATGTGGAATCTAAAGAACAAAATAAACAAGCAATATTGAAATAGATTCATATATACAGAGAATAGACTGATTGTTGTCAGATGGGAGGAGGGTTGGGGGACTGGGTGAAAAAGGTGAAGGGATTGAGAAGTAAAGTTTGGTAGTTGCAAAATAGTCATGGGATGTAAAGTACAACATAGGGTTATACAGTTGAAAAAAGTTTTTAGGGGTAAAATAGGCAGGTTTAGGGAGTTTTAGGAATTAGGAGGTCCATGGGGGAGGAAGGCATAGTTGGTCAAGAGCTTGGCACTGCCAAAAGGCATTCATTCACAGAGGAACAAAAGGTGCCACAGAATAAGGGGAAAGGAAGATATCCATTCGAAGAAGACAGGGACACGCCACAGGATATGGGGAGAAAGAGGAAACAAACTTTCACAGAGAACAGAGAAATGCTGACAAATGGGAGAAAGAGGAAAACAGATTTTCACGGGAGATAGAGAATTCTACCACTGAAGGGGGAGAAAGAGAAGGGGACAACACGAGGCGTTTAAGTTTTAAAGTTCATATTTTACCAATAAGAAGGAAGCATAAAGAGACAAAGAACTTCAGCCTTTATAAATCTTAGGGAAAAGGCGCTTAGTGGACTACTCCCTTTGGGACGCCCTCCCCATGTGGGAGTCTGTACTTGTTTCCAACAAATTTCCACTTTTTCATCTACTACCTTTTGTCCATGGCTTCATTCTTCGAATCCAACCTGAACAAGAACCCAGGAAAGAAACTACCCTTGCATCATGCTCAGAAAAAAACCCACTCGATTCATAGTCAATAATATTGTAATAACTAGGTATGGTGTCAGATGGGTACTGGAAATATCAGGGAAAGCATTTTGTAAAGTATATGATTGTCTAACTACGATGCTGTACATCTGAAACTAATCTATAATAATAAAAGCGTAATATGCTAATTAGACCAGACAGCCGAATGACCTTCCGGACGACCTACTGGATGAAGCCGGGGCTGCAAGGGCTGAGGCAGCTGTGGCAGCTGCGAGTGCTGAGCTCCTTGCATGAATTTCATGCACCGGGCCTCTCGTACAAAATAATATTGAATATAAACTGTAATTGAGAAATAAAGTTTAAAAGAAAACAAAAGTCATCATAAGGTCACATGTACATAGGAAATCCATAAAGAAGGAGAAATAGGTTGCCAAGGCAACCTGCCACTGTATGCGTTTTCAGACATCAGATCCATTTTCGTTTGTCCCCACTGTGCTACCACCTGCTTTACATACTTCTCCTCCCAGCTCTATTCATATTATGGCTTTGGAAATATATGGTTAGAGAGGGGGCCCCAGTGGAATATTGCCTTTGATGATCACATCCCAGGGATATCTTAAGAATAGTAGATAATAAAGCTTAGTCAGGTCAATTTTATCCTACAATACAAAAAGATAATCAAATGACTTCTCTATATACATATGCCTTTTACTTTCCCTGTAGTATACCCTATATAATAAAAGGCTAATATGCAATTGACTGAACAGAATAACCGGTCGCTATGACACACACTGACCACCAGGGGGCAGACACTCAATGCAGGAGCTGCCCTCTGGTGGTTGGGTGCTCCCCCTGGGGGTGGGGGGGAAGGGGAGCGCCGCTCAGTCAGAAGTTGGGCACTCAGTTGGCAAGCACATTGGCAGTGGCGGGAGCCTCCGCAGCAGTGCTAAGGATGTCCAACTGCTCCCGGACTGCGACAGCGTGCAGGCGGGGCTGAAGGACCCCTGCGAGTGCATGATTTTCATTGGGCCTCTAGTGTCTTTATATTTTTAATATTACACAAGGAACACAGACTCCTATATTACTTGTGTTCCACAAAATCACAAGTCAAACATGGCTTCTATCTTTTCCATCACATCACTATCTGAGATCTATTTCTATTTCTCCCCTTAGCTCATTTACGCATTCTCTGTTAAACAGGAATGGTGTGCCTGGGACTGGCTTTTCCTCTCTTCTGTGTGACCTTGTTAAGTTATCTAATTAATCTGGGCTTCACTTTTCTCCTTTGTAAAATAAGGGAGTTGAGCCCAGCACTGACAAGCTACAATTCTATTGTTGGTTCCCTTTGTGCTTTGAGACTTGGGAGGTCCTTCTAGGTAAATGGTGGTGATGCTTTCCAGATTCTCCACATTCTTACCTGAAGTCCATTATTTCCACTGAAGTAAAATAACGATTCAGAGATGGGGATGAGCTGTACACATCTGTGAGCTGAAACAAACAGGAACAAGTAAAATAACCACACACATAATTGCTGGATCTTATTGCATATCACCTGACAAAGCAAAAGTACTCCTAGACAAAGGGGATTCAACTAGCTAGAAACTAAGTTATCCAGAGACGCTGGATCAAGAAGCAGACAGAGGAGGGCCTAGCACCAACCAAAAATCAAGTTCACACTCATGTAAAAGAATCTTATTTGATAAGGATCATGTGACCCGGCTGGGATTTTCAACATCTCTTATGTATTGCACTGACACTTTGTGGCCTTAATGAAGAGAGGGGTCTGCAGCCTGTGTCCACCCAGACCCCAAGGAACTCGGACAGGAGAGAACAGGGCAGTGGCTGGGAAGACGGCAGAACAGGCCACTCGGGGCCTGGTGCATCACTGGACAAGGGCTTTCCCTCCTTTCTTGAGAGCTTCATTGTAAGAAGAAACAGCCATGCTAAGCCACAGGTAAGGCACTTTTCCTGGAAAATGGGACCAAGTGGGGCTGGTGTATAATTGCAAAGATAATGAAGTTCTTATTTTATGCATGAACTATTGCCATCCCCAAAAAATGACACCTATGTTCCCACTACCCATGTTTCTTTGCTTCACATTTTACCACATCTAGTTCACCCTTTCACTCTAAGAGACAGAACAAACTAAGTGACTCTTCTTACACACAATTCCTCTCTCACCTAGTGCTAGCCATTGTCCTAAAGAGGGTATGACTCCTTCTCATGCATGTTTTTTATAAATGTAATACATCCTGGTGCAATCAGTGCTACATAATTTAATTTGTGTTTTATTAAAATAAAATATGCACCATAGTCTATACAATCTTCTATGACTTGGTTTTTCTTTTCACTCGAAATTATGTTTGGGATTCACCCATAATGGTACATCTAGAATATGAAGGCCTTTCACTCTAACTCCTAACTCCTGCATAGATTTCACTAAGTGGTTGGACCAACTTTGCCATTTATGTACAAATTATACTGAAGCTATCACCCTTGAATATCTCTGTGCCTCTTTTCTCATGTGTGTAAGAGTTTCTTACAGACATATGAGAAGAAATGCCAAGAAATGGACTTGGTGGGACTATGATTAGGCACATCACCAAAGGAACTAAATCTTGCCAAATTGCTCTTCATCTTACTCTTCTCCCAGGAAAGTAGAAATGATCCATTTCCCACAGCCCTGCTGGTACTTAGTGTTACCATATGTTTAGATTTTTTGCCAGTTTGAAGATTATAACATTGTTTTAATTTGCCGTAAGCAAATTTTATCCATTGCTTTTGTGCATCTAGGCATCTTGGTTAACATACCTTTGAAATGCCAGAAGTATTCCTCTTTTTCAAATCCATAAGGGAGCATATAATCTTGTTAACTATTCTGTAATCCAATCACAGAGATTTCCCTGCCTTGCTTTCTCACACCTTCCTTATGTCCCCTCCTTAATTCTCATGGTATAAAAGAAACCACAAAGTAGTCATTCTCGAGAGCATTTGAGATTGTGTCTTGCCCATTAGCTGCCTTCTGCATGCCCCCTACTGGGAATGGAGCCTGGAACCCTTACACGGGATGATACCCAACCAACTGAGCCACAAGGGCCAGGGTGATAAGCTTGTATCTTTATACTTTGAAAATACTGCATTGGTTCTGGAGCATATAGGCTGTCCCTATACTCAGATTTGATGTGAATTTAATGTTATAGTAGAATTTCAAAGTGTTTTTTGTTTGTTTGTTTTTGTTTTTTTTGTTTTTCATAATATCTTTTATTTTTCCTTTTTTATGTACTTATTTCAACTTTGCCATTTATGTACAAATTATACTGAAGCTATCACCCTTGAATATCTCTGTGCCTCTTTTCTCATGTGTGTAAGAGTTTCTTACAGACATATGAGAAGAAATGCCAAGAAATGGACTTGGTGGGACTATGATTAGGCACATCACCAAAGGAACTAAATCTTGCCAAATTGCTCTTCATCTTACTCTTCTCCCAGGAAAGTAGAAATGATCCATTTCCCACAGCCCTGCTGGTACTTAGTGTTACCATATGTTTAGATTTTTTGCCAGTTTGAAGATTATAACATTGTTTTAATTTGCCGTAAGCAAATTTTATCCATTGCTTTTGTGCATCTAGGCATCTTGGTTAACATACCTTTGAAATGCCAGAAGTATTCCTCTTTTTCAAATCCATAAGGGAGCATATAATCTTGTTAACTATTCTGTAATCCAATCACAGAGATTTCCCTGCCTTGCTTTCTCACACCTTCCTTATGTCCCCTCCTTAATTCTCATGGTATAAAAGAAACCACAAAGTAGTCATTCTCGAGAGCATTTGAGATTTTGTGTCTTGCCATGATGTCAGTTTGCTCAAATGAACTCATAAAAATTCTCTACAGATTTAGACATTCTCATGTTGACACCTTCGTTCCAACCTTCTCTATTCCCTCCTTCCTTCCCTCCTTCCTTCCTTCCCTCCCTCCCTCCCTGCCTCCCTCCCTCCCTCTCTCCCTTCCTCTCTCCCTTCGTTAATCCTACCCACTCAGGAAAACAATAGCTTTCCTAGAAACTGCCCCAAGAATTTCACTATATTTAACTGCCTAGAATTGGGTCACACAGTTTCCCCCAAATGCAAGAGAGTCTGACAAGGTGTGTACTTGTAGGCTCATTGTCAGGCCCCCCACAAAAAGGTTTCTGTTGGCAAAAAAGAATAAGAGAAAGGCTTTTAAAGAGCAGAGTCTGGAATTGTGCACAGCATACAGGGTGTCCCCAAAAAATGTATTCATCCTTTCA